GCTTGAAGTTTTAGAGTTAACCGGGAGCAGTACTGCAGTAAATAGGGTTTTACGAAATTGTGGACTGTTTTACCCAGTTCTGGTTACAGATGTGGACCAGTAAGAGGTTTGTTTGAGCCCAAAACATTGAGTTGACATAACATGAATCACAAGTTATAACATCGCCAAAAGGAATCGTTTAGATAACATGAAAGAAACGAAAGCACTATCAATATTCATTGGGATAGACGTATACCTATAACGAATAAGCTCAGCTTCGTGTTACGGATTAAGAACCTTAAGTAATCACTTCCATTTCTGAAACATGAAATACTTATTCATTCATTCTGAATAGAGCAGTAGGTTAAGATGGCAGAGCGTTAAAATGATTTAAAATCATAGAACTAAATCTGTCTAAGCCATTTAAGAGCTCGTCTAAATGACATCATAGTTTCCAGATGACAAGACAAAATCTAAGACTGCCCGTTGAACCCATACATGATATTTGGGCCCAAAACTGTTTCTATAGAAAATATATCATCAACTTCAAGTACTGAACTTCTGAGATTTTGTCTTATGTTGTTATGCACGGGGCATGTAATTAGATAGTGTCAAATACGATTTATTATGTAACATAAATGCACTCTATGTTAGAATGTAAATCTCTTAATAATATTAAGCAGAAATATATACCAGAAACGTTTCTAAAACTACCAGTAAGGCATAATTTTATATCACTAATGACCTCTAATAACGATGAAATAATTAAGAATGTAGCCTATTATATATATCATGCAACTGTATTAAGGAAATCTTTATTATGTTCATAACGCTTATGCGCATCAAGTGATTTATTGTCTATGTAAATATTACTGTTACTGTACTTTTGTTATGGGCCGGCGGCCTTAAGGCAAATAAACTATTGATTGAGTGATGGTTGGTTTTATAGTTTTAGGGCGACGTGGGCGAATAAGAGGCCTATTTGCGCCCAACACATTGACTTGATTTAATAAACAATCATAGATGATTTCATCGCCAAAAGGAGTCGTTTAGTTAAGATAAAAAAACGACAACACTATTAATATTAATTTGGATAGATGTATACATATATCGAATAACCTCTGCTTTGTGTTACGGATTAAAAACCTTAAAGGTCACATGCAACGTAAAACACAACTTTGCAGATTCTGATACCTTTCGGTATGGACTTACCTAACCAAACCATCAAAAATGCAAATTCAACTGATAAAGTTGAATAATAACGCGATGAAAAAAGACCGCGCGAAATCGGAGTTCAAACGATTCACTAATTTCCCACCAGTGCTTGGGGGAAAAAGTGGTCTCAACAGCTGGGCTGCGCTCATAGCACATGCGCAGTGAAATAGTTTCGCGCAGCTTGTGAGCGGGTTGTCCGGTGAATACTCGGCGAAGGCTTTGGTGTGAGCTATTTTTCTAATGTTTCGTTGATATTTCACAGGCGCGAGCTTTTTATATGTTATGACAGTAGATTAACGATTTAACTGTTTCTATAATTTCATTTGCCTATTTCACCACACGTTCTTCTTACCGAGTCACTTTCTCAGTTCGATACTTAAAAGCAATGTCATTATTTAGCGTTGACAGAATTTCTAACTGTGATATAGATATGTCGTTGTCACAGACAAAACTCAATGTCTGTTTTATTGACACCTATGTGTCTTCCTGCCCTGTCTGCTAATGACAATGTTCAATACACAACTTAGATCACTGACCACATGTAATTTGAACTTGACACCTATCAGGCTATACACCAGAAACAAAACGCATTGATTCATGGCCCGAGTTCGGTCTCTGTCACATTATGTAATTAGACAGACAGGCAGGTGTGATACTTGTACACATGACATGTTATGACGTCTGTTGATTGCAAAATGTTATACACAAAAAAATGAGCATGTATTTACAAAACCCAACATCTCTATATATACACACACAATGAGCCGTGAAGACATCTGCTAATGAACCAGCCGTTACACTTGAGTGCTCACCCACCCGCTCTGACTGGGTTCGGTATCCCGGCTGCTTCGTTTCTAGGGCAGTAAACCCAAGAACAAAATATTGCACTGTTGATTTGCGATTGTACGCTTATAATTTTGTTTATATGTTTTTTCATAATCAGCAATGTAGATTATATGTCATGAATAAGTGATAATTGTGTTTTAATTATGTTTGATTTTTGGGTTGCATGTGACCTTTAGTAATCACTTCCATTTCTGAAACATGAAATACTCATTCATTAAAAAAAGCAATAGGTTCAGATGACTGAATGTTAAAATGATTGAAAACCACAGAACTAAATCTGTCTAAGCCATTCGAGAGACTGTCTAAATTACATCATATTTTCCAGATGACGAGACAAAATCTAAAACTGCCCGTTGCAAACTGTTTCTAATGACAATACATCATCAACCTCAAGTACAGCACTTCTGAGATTATGTCTTAGATAATGTTAGATATTTTCAGGCGTCTCCAAATTGCAATGGCCACATTTAGAAGAGAATTGAGTGATCTATTATGTGGAGTTCCCTCCCTTGTTATGCTTGGACCAGTCAATGCAGCAAGCTATTCTTCACGAGACATTGCCCGTTCTCACAAAATGCATGTGATTTGATTGTGTAATGTGGCACGTTGAGATAAGGTTGCAATGAACTATGCTTCTATTGAGTCTGAATTTCAGCTACCCGAGTTCAGTGGAGGTATTTAGCTGTGTGTCAGCGGAATACACTCGCAGGCACATGCACAGGCACACGCACAGGCACACATTCACACTTGATTGATTGCCTGCATGCATACGTACGTAAATGCATGCATAATATATTCAGAAAGTTTGTTACCTGTGTTAGCTGTAAAGACTAATAAAATGTGCAATGGACAAAAAAACCCAGCACAGATCATTTTGGAAACAGCTATAGTGTAATCAAAACAGATAGGTTCAGCATTCAAGTTTCTAGTCACTGCCCTTTGATACTTGTTTAAGGCAAACACATAGTATCATTAACTGTCAATCATCATTACATCAGCAATGTCAAAAACTACATAAATGATCTGTTTGGGTTGTTTTGTTTTTTTGTTCTGCGAGCTGTTCGTATAGTACACACTCCTATGATGTCTTGTACCTTCAACTTTGGGCTTCTTTAAAACAGTGTAATTTCGAATTTGGCAAGACGGAGTCAGTGAGTTTAGTTTGACACCTCTTTTAGCAATATTCCAGCAATATGAAGGCGGAGGAAACCAGAAATGGGCTCCCCATGTGGGGAACCGAACCCGGGGTTTCCGCGTGACGAGCGAAAGCTTTAACCACTTGGCAACCCCACCACCCCCGAATATGACAAGAGATTGGTGGGTAGTAGTGACATTGTTTACGGGTGACCGGGTGCCATCACTGATTTTCCCTGATCAATTTAAGTTGTTTGCACCACTGGTTTGCCTTTTGCTCCTACAAATGATTTGTGACTGCAGATAATCCAGACAAAAATGTTCTCTCTATGTCGTTTTGTATTCGTGGTCATGATGGTCAATATACTGGTCATTTTTGTCTTTGATGTGGCTTTCCTTGTGCTTTTCTGGTATATAGGCATTTAAAGTGAGAGAAAGTGTAGAAAGGATTGGCATAAAGTTTTGTAGTTTAAATATTCGACTATAAAGAATCACAGATCTTCATTAAAAAATATGTCATGAGTAACACGTTTATAAAGGTAGACTCAAATGAGATTGTTCTCAAACCTCCATTAGATTAGAACATTACCTAGTTTATTACATCTTCAGAAGTAATAATTCTTCCTACATCTAATATACTGTATACTCATTCACACCTATTAAATGTATGTTGTTAAATATTTCTAAACTTATTTCCTGTCTTTAGATTTGAATTGTTAGTCACTGCCACTAGAACTCTGGGATATATCTTTTATTTTTGAGTTGGTAGTGTGAGCACTGTCTGCGCCTGTAATAATCCAATCATGTGAATAAATATTATAATGCCTAGTAAGAAGAAGGTCGAGGGTTCGACTCCCCCTGGAGCCTTCTTTTTCACATAGACTACCACTTGTGCTCATCACTTCCTTTTGCAACTTTCAATTTCCGTCTCACTTTTAACATTTGCTGTCATTTATTCCAGCAAAATCACACTGGTATCTGAGCGTGTGCAGGAATGTGTTTTGTTTGAATCTCACGTCACATACCTTCCCCCAAAAGACAAACGATTATTTCTTTCCTGCTGGTTTTAAAGGCAGGTGAAACATAAATAGAGTATAGACTATTGTACCTTGGTCTATCCCATCGGCTTTATAGCTCATTTGGTTAGAGTGTCTGCCTATTAAGCAGGTCGAGAGTTCAAGACGAAGTATTCTTATCCATTGAGCTCGTGACAAAGCTTTCCTGATTAAAATTATAATTAACCTAATCATCCATTTGAAGTTGACTCTGGGACAGCATTTCACCTCACATCCTATTAATATATTTGTTTCTTCATGAGTAATGATGCACTCAGTAATATTCTAGCTGAATGACATGGGTTAGTCAATAATCGATTCTTGTCTAGACAATGCAAGGATGCAAGTTTTAAAGTGTTAGCTCACAGAAATATCACGAATACTCACTACACAATGATTCCCTGGTTTAAACCCCTAATGTCCGGTGCCAGGCAAGGCAATAACAATCTTTCAACGTCTTCTTCCTCTTCGGCGGCAGGTGCTCTGTCAACTGAACCACTGAAGCAGTCAATTGTAAAAGAGCACACGCAATGCATCTAGCTTCCTTAACAACAAAGTAACACATTCTTCTAGTCTTTTGGAATTGCTTCAGACTTGGTACCATAATCTTGTGTGAGGTTGAGGTAAACATGCTTTCTCTTTCACCACAGATGATAATATTAGACTGTATATGAATGATAACTTCTGAGACCTTGAGGAAATGGCGCTTTGCAAGTACATGCACGTTCCTTTCTGCTTAGTTTACCAGAATAACTAAACATTATTCAGTAAACCGTAACAACAAGTATGTTTATTCATGTATTTACAACAATGTTCTTTCAAAGCAGTACAAATGTTAATAAGGATGGCGATCTGATATGTACAGAAATTTCCAATAATTACTTCTATGTGTCAAATTCAAATGTTTAGCCAGATCTACCATTCTTGAATAAGCACTATATAATTTTTAAGGACCATGAACGAACTTCTCTTAAAAGATGACAAATGAACCTATTTGAAATAATACATCTTACTAATGTAATTATCTGTATTTGAGACACTGATGTAATAACACTGAGAGATGTAAATAATTCTTAAATAATTATCCTTTTTACCATGTACAGTAAGAGCAGCATATTCAGGTTCAAAACATTCCGCACACTTATGGAAATCCGCACAGTTTCATTTACAGTCCAGAATTATTAATCCGTTTAGCACACATATATTCCAATTTGCTATTTCTTCATTATCTTCATCTTTCCTGATCTGAAAACTTTAAAACAATGATTAGTTAACACATTTGAGTAAATACCGTTTCAAATAGATATTCATATTTACAACAGAACATCTATTGCATTAAATCTCTTGTAATTATTAATTCTTATCTTACGGCTATGGTTAGTATACCAGTAAGATTCAGGAAACAAGACCAAAAGGAACAATATTTTTTAAGTGTCACTCAAAGAAGGAAACAAGACACCTATAGTTACAGATATAATAACACTGCATATAGTCAGAAACCTTCAGATAAATATCTCTCAGTATTTGATGGGATAGAAAGGCATTTTATAAAACGCCCCTTTCAAAAGTATGGCCATTGTAAGGCAATACATTTAAATACCTTCCTCTAAGAATGAACTTAAGAGACCAAACAGCTCCGAACAGTGGCTGACACACCCTCAGAGACCCTGTTTGTGATGAGGCTGCTGATTCGCTGCCCTCACTATAACCTGGCTGCATCCTCGTCTCATATTGGCTACTACCACCCATTGAGGTTGCGGAGTTTGCTTCCGATTGACAAACAAGGATTCGGGATTGACCTGGTCGTTGGGCAGGAATTGGGGATAAGTATGAATTCAAATCAGGAGAATCATTCAATTCAAGTCCAGAAACAGTGCTAGGGCTAGTGACAGCTAATGCTATGTACACAAACATATTGAACAACTGGAGCATGAACTTCCGTCCCACTGAAACACAAGAAGCAGGGGTATGAGGTCACACAGAGCAAGCAAGGGTGGAAGGGCTCAAGCAGCATCCAAAGTGGGTAGAAGTATGCTTCCACATACCCCGTGATTACAGGTGAAGGATAATGTAAAGTAAGAATGGCTACTAACCACTACTCAAGCTCAGTTATTACAATGTTATTCAATAATGGCAGCCACATACAAAGATGTTGAAAAGAATGCAGAATTACAGTCTTAGGAATGTGTTGTCATTTAAGTCTCTAAAATTATTGTCTGACCCTTATCACACATATCAAAGTAAAACGTTTACCATCACCAAGAAATAAACATGAAAGTGCGTGAGTGAATGAGATATCTCCATCAACCTCTCTATCTATTGCATGCTTATAAGAGTTGTGACGATACAGAAATTTCACGATACGATACGTATTGCGATATCTTGAAACGATACAATTCGATTTGATGCATATCAGGATATGCTACCATAAGTTATTTTCTTTAAAAATGTATATTTTGATAGCAAGTAACAGTGTAAATGTTGACATAACCGTCAATTTCTAGTGAAAATTAACAATTTTAAGGTCAACAATACATATCACGATACGAAAAAATGTATCAATATATTATATATACTATCGATACTATGATATATCGTCACAGTTCTAATAGTTGGTTAGTGAGTTGCTTGCATCTTAACCAAGTCTCAGAGGTAAGACTGCACAGTATTACCAGTGTATCACAATACGGCTTTCATTGCAAACATTGCAATGTTTTTTTCTCAGAACTGGTATGAAAGGTAATAAAAATATAAAAAGAATTAATAGTAATTATTGACAAAACAGCATACTTTACATACAATCATTTTTATATAATAGAAGATACAACCCCTGAAAATCAAATCTAAATTCAACATTTGTTATCACAACCATGACATTTATTTTGGGGACTTTAGTATGCAAAGTAGACTTGAAAACAGGCTGTGCATGTACAATCAATGTCCTTTACTTTCAAACACTGAAGCCCTTTTTATATCACGATACGTATCAGAATATGGGTACCGGAATATACTGCAATACAAATCATTTGCCACTACACAGCCCCACTCAAAGGAAAGGTATAATGCCTCGAGAACAGGTATGATGTTAAAAAAGGTATGTCATTCAAGGGTGAGATAATGAGTAATAAGCCAAGAGACCTCTTAAATCTCAGATTCATTTCGACAAAACGTTTGAATGGAGACACACACAAAAGATGGAAGTCCAACATGAGATTGAACTATTAACAGAACAAGGGTCAGGACTGTATAAAATCTTTGCTACGTTGATGTTAATGACAAAATTTTGTTGCCACATTTTTCAGCCTAGGCAACACAAACAGACCACACATTTCCTTCAGGAAGTGGGCACTGGAGTTCAATGCTTCTCCACTGTGTCCATAATTACAGGGGCAGAGGAATATACTTAGTTCCTTCGCCTAGTCTCCTTGCATGGAAATGATTCATTAGGCTCATTTTAGTGTCTGTTACAAGGATATTAACTTGACATCCATATCAGTTTCTTCCCCTACTCACTAATGTATGTTAGAATACAGCTCAGCACTACACATACAAAATCCAACCCCCAGAGGAATGTAAGCTCAAGCCATAGAATACAAGTTCAAGGAGTGAAATGCAAGTTCAAGGACGGCAATGTAAGTTCAAGGACTGCTATGTAAGTTCAAGGTGAGCAATGCAAGTTATGCAATGCATGTTCAAGTTAGGCAGCTACTGAGTCAAATGTGTTATGTCAGTGAACATCTGTTTCTGGAGTTGAAACGCATGATTCTTCCTTCGAACACAGCTTATGGTCAATAATCACACATGTCAGTATGTAAGTCAGTAAGTGAATGTCCATGAGGAAATAATATTTCCTGTTCAACCTTACGAAATATGTCTTACTCATCTTGATGAAGTAGTAAAAAGTATTTCTGTCTCATCTAGGAGTAACATGGTTAGACCACACATATTATTGCACACATTCTGACCAACAGGTCATACTATCTTCAATTTAAACTTACCTCCTGTAGCATCGCCATGAGAAAATATAACTGGGGTATACATTTCATGTGAAATCTTCTCGGAAAACTCAGATTCTCGGGCCAAGCTCACACCCTAAAATCACCCAAAACAACAAACTTTTCAGTTGTTCACAACACTGACACCCACTTCAATTGAAATACATTCAGTACAACCATGCATTAACTGTATATGCATAAAACCATTATCTAATGTAACCAGAGGTATCTATGATTTTAGCATGAATCCATTAATAATCTCATCAATGAAGCTATTCGTATTTGGTAATGTTACATTCAAAGAAACTGTGTCATGATGAATACTGAAGAAAATTAGTGCCACAAGCACACCGGGGTCCGTAGTTAAAAGTATAATTTGAAAAAGGGTGAGGGATCCGTAATAAATTATCGGTATCAATATTGAATATTTCATGAATAACTGATGACGAGAAACTAACACTTATGACTTAAAGAAAATAAGAAATGATAATATAGAAAGGAGACACACGCCAAAATTTGACTTCCTTAGTCTGTCAATTTCAGAGGAACTAACAGAATTTGTCAGTCAAATGAAAGTCAAAATGTATAGAGATGTGTAAAATGGAAATGTGTTGAGCCCATCTACTAAGAGTGAGTGAGTGAGTGAGTTTAATTTTACGCCGCACTCAGCAATATCCCAGCTATATGGCGGCGGTCTGTAAATAATCGAGTCTGGACCAGACAATCCAGTGATCAACAGCATGAACATCGATCTGCGCAATTGGGTGCCGATGACATGTGTCAACCAAGTCAGCGAACCTGACCACCCGATCCCGTTAGTCGCCTCTTACGACAAGCATAGTCGCCTTTTGTGGCAAGCATGGGTTGCTGAAGACCTATTCTACCCCGGATCTTCACGGGTCACTAAGAACACATATCCCAAATACACATATCCCAAATTTCATTGTATTTTTTTTACAGAACTGACTGAGAATGGCCATAAAACATGCATGGTTTCTGCGTGGTACAAGTGCAAATGTGAAATTGAGTTCCAAATACTGCCAAAATATTGAACGTATATCTTGGACCCCATAATTGAGCACACATGCACCAAATTTCCTTTCATTTTTGAAAACAAATGCATTGAACTATGGCCATTGACATCTGTTGATAGATTACAGTGACAGCCCTAACTGATCCTCTTGAACAGATGCAGGTGTTATTCTACTTTGAAACAAGCATGTGAAGTTTCAGCTTCACTGGTCCAGTGGGTTAGTATGAGAAGTATGTCTATATAGACCAGGGAAATGCCTTATAGACATGTTTGGAGCAGATTCCAAGTATAAAACGGAATATACAAGTTAAGCCACACTTCTGTCAACATATACTGAATATTTATTCCATTCTGAAAAGAAAATGTCTGAGTAATTGCCATAAATAGGTTTTCAAGAGATTGCCTGGGTGGCCTTATTGAAAAGGTGCCAGGAGGTGTCAATACAGTGTCACATTAGGTTATAGAATTATGTCAAGTTAAAGCTTTACTGATACAGGGCATGTTTTATTTGTTCGACTTGTAACACTGCTGCACTCAGCAATATTCATGTACCTGATAATCCAGAGATCGTCAACAACGTGATCATTGATCTACACAGTTCAGGGGAAAGGGCTAAAAATAAGAAGATATGAAGAAAAACAAGCATGTCTTGCCTCCATGAAATATTTAGCAAACTCCTCTGCAGCAGCTACTGAGCTGAAAGATACCTTGAAGTTCCTCCTGACCGGCTCGTCTGTTGAGAAGTCGTGGGCACTCCACATACATGCTCTCTTCGGCTTCTCTCTGGATGTATGAACAATCAAGGAGGGATGATATAAAAAAAAAGAGGAAGGGTTCAATCCTTGGCCTCTTAACGGGGCACTGATCCAGAGCGATTAATGTTTCTCGCCAAGAGTCTAATTACGAAACCAAACTGCAGGCTGGTCACTACCTGCTCCCTCGACCGTGACAGACACGGGGACTGGGCTACTGTCCACTTTGGCAGAATTTCTTCAACCTGAACAGTGGGACATTAGGAAGGGTGGATGCCCATCATATGCCGTGATTTGAAAATATCCCCTACAGTTCTTGTTTGATTGTAGTTTCCCAGCAGTGTAGGCTTTTTCAGATTTTCTAATGTTTGGATGGTATAATGACAGGTCCAATTTGATCCTATTTCTGTGCTTTTTACCTCGATATTTAATCATGTCATGTAAAAATATGACATCTATTACCCATGCTATG